GGATCCCAGACCCAGAGAACCCCCAAGAGAACTGATCCCAGATCCTGCCCAGAGAAGCTGTGCCTGCCTCATCCCTGGAATTGTCCAAGACCAGGTTGGACAGGGCTTGGAGCAACCTGGGCTAGTGGAAGGTGTCTCTGCCCGTGGCAGGGGTTTTGGAACTGAAAATCCCTTGCAACCCAAACTATTCCATGATTCTTGGATCCACTGGACAACCAGGAGAGGCTCTTGCGTCTTATATCTTTTACAAACTTCAGCTTGGAGCATCCCATGGTTGTTCCATCCGCGTGGACGAGATGAAACCTCTCCAAGGAGGATCCTGCCTCCTGGAATTGGTGTGATTCAGGAACATCCCACTGTGCCAAGAGCTGTGGACGTTGATCCTGGAGCAGGAGGCGCTGAGGTCCTGCCAGTGACTCTTCTCCCCCCTTGTCCCTGTTTTGGTGGAGTGTGGAATGTGAGGAGTCTCCAAAGGACTCTGGGATTGGGCTGTTCCCTTAACTGATGCTGAAGGTCCTCTCTTTTCCCAGGAAAACCCCTGAAGCTGAGCTTGGCCACGGAGGAAATCGCCACGTTTTATGCCAAAATGCTCGACCACGAATACACGACCAAGGAGATCTTCCAGAACAATTTCTTCCACGACTGGAGGAAGGTACATCCCTGGGAGAGCTTCCTTGATATCCATCATCAGGCTGTGGTGTGGGATGGGAGGGAATGAGGGGCTTTTATGGCTTATTTATAACTATGAAATCCTGAATTCTGATTTGCTTCCTTGGTTTTGGGGGGATTTGGGCTGGGATTTGCTGCCTGCAGCATCTTTGAGGGCTTCACTTGTGCTCCCCCTGAGTTTTGGTAATAGAAGGAGGTGCTGGATCTTCCAGACAGCTTTCCAAATGTTTTGGGGCTTGAGGGAACAACCTCACGGTCCTAAATAAAACCAAAACCCCTGCTAGGGTGTGTTTACACCCCCCAAATACCTTTGGTGCATCTTCTGCAGTCCCTGAAGTTCCTGCAGTGGTTTTTCCATGGGGGATTTTTTTCCATGTCAGAGGTTGTTCCACCCCACCTTTGGCTGCATTTTGTTTCTCTGGGTGTTGGTTGAATCCAAAGTTTATCAGACCTCCCACCGTGGAAGCTGGATGTGGCTGTTGCCTGCTGATTTTTTTCCAAAGAGCTGGAATATGGTCTCTGTTCCCTTTTCTGGGAAGGAGAGGCACAAACTGTGTGGGGTTAGTTTGGCCTTCCAGCTTTATCCAGCCCATCCCACCTTTTCCCCAGGAGATGACCTCGGAGGAGCAGGAGATAATCCAGGAGCTGGCCAAGTGTGACTTCAGTGAGATCCACAAGTACTTTGTGGACAAAAGTGAGGCACGGAAAGCGCTCCCCAAGGAGGAGAAGCAGGTCAGGACTCATCCCTGGGACACCTGGGGCTGGATAACGGTGTTTTGGGGTCCAGCTTTGGGGTGTTTGGGCTGCTGCTTGTCATTTTTTCCTGATGGAATGCCCTGAGACCACTTTGGACCATCTCCTCTCTGTCCATGAATTTTATCACCAGGTCCTGCACATTCCATGGTTTTCCAACCTGCCAACCATCCTTGGACCATGGTTTTGGGTCCTGCTCTATCCAGAGGATGGTGGACCTTGCTGAGGGACTGGTGGCCCTTGGGGTTCTTCCATCAGCATCACTGGGAGGGTTTGCAGAGTGGGTGGAGATGAGCCATTATTTGGGAGTGGACTTGCCTCCTTCTCCCACCCTCTGAGCTCTGCCTTCCCAGCCTTCCTTTTCTCCAGGGAAAGGGGGGTGATGTTGGGTGAACACGAGCCGTAGGGGTTACAACTCATCCTGTGGAATGAGAGTAGGTTTAGATTAGATGTTGGGAAGAAATTCCTTATTGGGAGGGTGGTGGAACTCCGGCACAGGTTGCCCAGAGAAGCTGTGGCTGCCCCATCCCTGGAAGTGTCCAGGTTGGATGGGGCTTGGAGCAACCTGGGCTAGTGAAAGGTGTCCCTGCCAAGGGCAGGGAGGTGGAATAAGAATGAGATAAATTTGGAGGTCCCTTCCAACTCAAACCACTCCACGATTTTTTTGGTGTCCTGATGCTCCTTTCAGAAGCTGAAGGAGGAGGCAGACAAGATCCAGGAGGAATATGGCTACTGCATCCTGGATGGGCACCGGGAGAAGATCGGCAACTTCAAAACGGAGCCGCCGGGGCTGTTCCGTGGCCGTGGCGACCACCCCAAAATGGGGATGCTGAAGAAGAGGATCATGCCAGAAGATGTGGTCATCAACTGCAGCAGGTGAGTTGCCATGAGCTCCTGGAGCTGTTTTTGGGATCGGGAGGAGCGGGATCCTGGGATTTCACCATCTCCTGCAATCCCTGCTTTCCATGCCCTGAGGACTCGCTGGAGCTCTTTGGTCACCTCCAGAGGTCTGGCTTTGAATTCCTCTGTGGATCTCCAGTGGCCAGGAAGCTGCTCAAGCAGCTCCATCTCCCACTAGTTTATCCAAAATCAACCATAAACAACCCGTGGTTCTCTTGCTGCCTCTTGGGAGAGGGGACAACTCTGTGCTTCTCCTAATTTGCATCCCTCCTAATTTTTTGGATCCCTCACGCTGCTTGGAAGCACCAGGATCATCCTTGGAGGAGGGAGGAAGGCAGTGACTGGGTTAAGAGTGTTCTCTAAGTGCTAAATTATATGAGTTGGGTTGGTCTTAAACCACCCATTTGAAAACTTTGATTGAAAACATTCCCCTCCAGAAAATTCTCCTTTGTCTTCAGCATCCAAATGATAAAAGACCTGATGGTGGGAAGGGTCTGGAGCACCAGGAGTGGCTGAGGGAGCTTGGGGGGGGGCTCAGCCTGGAGAAAAGGAGGCTCAGAAGGGACCTTATTTCTCTCTACAGCTCCCTGAAAGAAAGGGGTGGACAGGTGGGGGTTGGTCTCTTCTCCCAGATGGGGCCATTTCCTCTTGTGCTATCACTTAAGTTGTCCCAGGAGAGAGGTTTAGGTTGGATATCAGGGAAAACCTTTTCCCAGAAAGGGTTGTAAGGCACTAGAAAAGGCTGCTCAGGGCAGTGGTGGAGTCCCCAGCCCTGGAGGGATTTGAAAGATGTGTAGATATGGCACCTGGGGACACGGTTTCATGGTGGACCTGGAAGTGCTGGTTTAATGGTTGAACTTCCTGATCTTGAAAGACTTTTCCAACTTTACCAATTCCATGTTGTGGAGCAGTTTTGGGTGGACTCTGTGGTGATGTGGTACTGTCCTTGGCAAGCTGAAGTTGAGCTGAAGCCCTGTCTCCTTCATGGTCTCAGGGCTTTAATCCTGCTTTTCCCACAGGGATTCCAAGATTCCTGAGCCCCCAGAGGGTCACAAGTGGAAGGAGGTTCGCTTTGACAACACGGTGACCTGGTTGGCCTCATGGACAGAGAACATCCAGAACACCCTGAAGTACATCATGCTGAACCCCAGCTCCAAGCTGAAGGTTGGAATGGTGGTGGAAAGATCAGGGAAAGCAGAGATGTGGCACAGCACCAAAAATCCGGGTTTTTTTTCCCACCTTTCCCCAAAAAAATGGGGTGAACTAAAGGAATCTGTGTGTCGTTGGGTGGTGAGAGGAAAAGGACGGATGGTTGTTAAGCATTAATCCTATTCCAGGGAAGGATTGCTACTGGCAGAGCCAACGTTCCAATATTCCCTGTGCCACATTCCTCATGTGTGTCCAGGGAAGGCTGTTGGAAGCCTGGCAGGAGCTGGGAGGGTCCACAGGGACCAGAGTCCATGGGGTGGAGTTCACTCATGGGGAAAGGTGGGATTGTGGTCTGTGGTGCCATGGGAAGAAAGGAAAGGAGATTTAAGGCTTTTTCCAGTGTTCCAAGTAAATGAGGGCACTGAATCCCAGCTGAGGGAGTGTTGTGTCCCTCCCTGGTGGTGTCCAGGCAGTGGTGGCCGTGGGCACGCAGTGTTTGACCACTTTGGCTCCTCGCTGGGCACTCCTGGTGGAGAACACCTCGACTTGGCCACGATCCTAAATCCAACTCAGCCAGCAGAGGGCACAGAAACCTTGGATGAGCTGCTTCTGCTCCAGTTCTTCCACTTTGTGGATTTTTCCTCAAGAAAACAACGGGCTTTGAGTAGGATTTAGATGTTGGAGGTGTTTCCAAAACAGGGTTACTCTGGAAGGGGTGGAATAAAAGTGGAGCACAATGAAAAATGTCTTGGCCTCCCTTTATTTCCTAAGGAAACAGCAGGATTGGAGCAGGATTTAGATGCTGGAGGTGTTCCCAGAGCAGGGTTAGACTGGAAGGGGTGGAATAAAGGTGGGACACTGATTGAAGAATGTCTTGGCCTCCCTTTCCAGGGGGAGAAGGACTGGCAGAAGTACGAGGTCGCTCGGCGCTTGAAGGACGTTGTCCATGAAATCCGGGCTCGGTACCGAGCGGATTGGAAATCCAAGGAGATGAAGAACAGGCAAAGAGCAGTGGCCCTCTACTTCATTGATAAGGTACCCACAGCACCATACCAGCCCCCAGGTCCCCCATCCATGTGGAAGTTGGGAATTGCCTGATTCACCCCACCCTGGAGCTGTTTTTTTGGTGATTCCTTGTGCTCCACATGAGGAATCTTGGCAGCGATTATGGGATCGTGGAATGGTTTGGGTTGGAAGGGACCTGAAAGATCATCCAGTTCCAACCTCCTGCCGTGGGCAGGGACACCTTCTACTAGACCAGGTTACTCCATTCCCCATTCCAGCCTGGATGGCTCCAATGCCCATCCAGGGATGGGGTGTGACCATGGATGGTGATTCCCACTATTCCCTGAGGGCGCCGTTGTGCAGCAGAGCAGGAGCTGTGCTGTCCTTCCTGGGCTTCACTTGCACTTGTGTCTCCGTGTGGTGGCAAAATCCCCACTGGGAAGATGGAGAACCTTTGTCTGGGGGGGGATGTTTTAGGGTTTTTCCTGCTGGAGGCAACTGCTGTTTGATTTCCACCAGGGTTCCGGTGAGGCACCACCCTGAGAAAGGGTGGAACAGGGAAACTGTGGATTCCTCATCCCTGAAGTGTTCAAGACCAGATTGGGTTAAAGCCTCATCCAACCTGGTCTTGAACACTTCCAGGGATGAAGAATTCACAGTAGTGGAAGTTGTCTCTGCCCACAGCAGGGGGTTGGAACAAGATGATCTTTGAGCTCCCTTCCAACCCAAACCATTCCACGATTCTCTTCCCCCACATGTCCACATCCACTTTAACAACCTTGGAAAGGGGGAGTCGAGGTGGGATGGGGGTGGATGACTCCCTGTCTCCCTTCCAGCTGGCCCTGAGAGCCGGGAACGAGAAGGAGGAAGGGGAGACGGCGGACACGGTCGGCTGCTGCTCCCTGCGCGTGGAGCACATCCAGCTGCACCCCCGGCTGGATGGGCAGGAGCACGTGGTGGAGTTGGACTTCCTTGGGAAGGACTCCATCCGCTACTACAACAAGGTGGCTGTGGAGAAGCAGGTGAGCAGGGGCAGTGCCAGGTCTCCGGGTCC